CTTCTACAGGGGTATTACTGACCACTACAGTAGAACTACCTCCCTGTCAACACCTAGTTGTAGAGTGTCCTTTAGAGATGTGTGTCCTCTTACCGGAGAGTTGCTACAGTAGAACTACCTCCCTGTAAAGGACAACATCTAGTTGCAAAACCAAAGTGTCCTTTAGGGAGAGGTGTCCTCTTACCGGAGAGTTGCTACAGTAGAACTACCTCCCTGTAAAGGACAACATCTAGTTGCAAAGCCAAAGTGTCCTTTAGGGAGAGGTGTCCTCTTACCGGAGAGTTTCTACAGTAGAACTACCTCCCTGTAAAGGACAACACCTAGTTGCAAAGCCAAAGTGTCCTTTAGGGAGAGGTGTCCTCTTACCGGAGAGTTGCTACAGTAGAACTACCTCCCTGTAAAGGACAACATCTAGTTGCAAAGCCAAAGTGTCCTTTAGGGAGAGGTGTCCTCTTACCGGAGAGTTGCTACAGTAGAACTACCTCCCTGTAAAGGACAACATCTAGTTGCAAAGCCAAAGTGTCCTTTAGGGAGAGGTGTCCTCTTACCGGAGAGTTGCTACAGTAGAACTACCTCCCTGTAAAGGACAACATCTAGTTGCAAAGCCAAAGTGTCCTTTAGGGAGAGGTGACCTCTTACCGGAGAGTTGCTACAGTAGAACTACCTCCCTGTAAAGGACAACATCTAGTTGCAAAGCCAAAGTGTACTTTAGGGAGAGGTGTCCTCTTACCGGAGAGTTTCTACAGTAGAACTACCTCCCTGTAAAGGACAACATCTAGTTGCAAAGCCAAAGTGTCCTTTAGGGAGAGGTGTCCTCTTACCGGAGAGTTTCTACAGTAGAACTACCTCCCTGTAAAGGACAACATCTAGTTGCAAAGCCAAAGTGTCTTTTAGGGAGAGGTGTCCTCTTACCGGAGAGTTGCTACAGTAGAACTACCTCCCTGTAAAGGACAACATCTAGTTGCAAAGCCAAAGTGTCCTTTAGGGAGAGGTGTCCTCTTACGGGAGAGTTTCTACAGTAGAACTACCTCCCTGTAAAGGACAACATCTAGTTGCAAAGCCAAAGTGTCCTTTAGGGAGAGGTGTCCTCTTACCGGAGAGTTGCTACAGTAGAACTACCTCCCTGTAAAGGACAACATCTAGTTGCAAAGCCAAAGTGTCTTTTAGGGAGAGGTGTCCTCTTACCGGAGAGTTTCTACAGTAGAACTACCTCCCTGTAAAGGACAACATCTAGTTGCAAAGCCAAAGTGTCTTTTAGGGAGAGGTGTCCTCTTACCGGAGAGTTGCTACAGTAGAACTACCTCCCTGTAAAGGACAACATCTAGTTGCAAAGCCAAAGTGTCCTTTAAGGAGAGGTGTCCTCTTACGGGAGAGTTTCTACAGTAGAACTACCTCCCTGTAAAGGACAACATCTAGTTGCAAAGCCAAAGTGTACTTTAGGGAGAGGTGTCCTCTTACCGGAGAGTTGCTACAGTAGAACTACCTCCCTGTAAAGGACAACATCTAGTTGCAAAGCCAAAGTGTACTTTAGGGAGAGGTGTCCTCTTACCGGAGAGTTTCTACAGTAGAACTACCTCCCTGTAAAGGACAACATCTAGTTGCAAAGCCAAAGTGTCTTTTAGGGAGAGGTGTCCTCTTACCGGAGAGTTTCTACAGTAGAACTACCTCCCTGTAAAGGACAACATCTAGTTGCAAAGCCAAAGTGTCTTTTAGGGAGAGGTGTCCTCTTACCGGAGAGTTTCTACAGTAGAACTACCTCCCTGTAAAGGACAACATCTAGTTGCAAAGCCAAAGTGTCTTTTAGGAAGATGTGTCCTCTTACCAGGGAATTGCTGTAGTAGAACTACCTCTCTGTAAAAGACAACACCTAGTTGCAAAGCCAAAGTGTCCTTTAGGGAGACATGTCCTCTTACCGAAGAGTTGCTATATAGTAAAAAATGATAATTTTGGCCATGGAAACTGTCATTCATAAAGAGGTGTCTTCTAGTAGGAGAGTCCTTTCTTGGAGATTCTACTGTATATTACAAACAAAAGACTGTTAAAATATATATACAGTAGAACCTCCCTGTAAAGAACGCCTAATTACCAAGCCAAAGTGCCCTCTTACCGGAGAGTTGCTAAATTGTAAAAATGGTCATTTTGCAAATGAAAACTGTCCTTTGTAGAGAGGTGTCCACTAATGGGAGGTTCTACTATATATATTTTATCATAGCAGTAAGGGCAGTAGAAAATAGATTTATTGTTAAAAATAATTAGTTTTGATTATAAGCTATATATAGTTTTGATTATAGTTATGATTATAATCATAAGCATCAAAAATCGTTTAATTTTTTCATTATAGATGTCAAATTATTCTACTTAGCTCACGAGCAGCGCCCTCTAGAACGCGGGCGATCTGACGGCGGCGCGCGCCCATTGGCTGCCGGCAAGCACGTGACTTCCCTGCCCCCGGCCCCCCCTTCCTCCGAGAAAATGTAATCGTCCGGCTGCCGGCCGGTTGGACAGTCCAAGTTCCCACCGACCAATCAGAGGGATCAAGAGGTCCTGGCCCGCGGGGGCAGAGTTGGTGACACAGAAAAAAGCCTCGCGGGTGACCTCCGGGAACTACGTCCATCTTCCATATGTAATATACATTTAATCGTGTAAACCCGGGCGTTGCCCGGGTCATTCGTCTAGTAGATTTATAAAGACAAGGTAATAAGACCAAATAAATAAATAGTATGTGACATTTCGGTAACAGCATTGTTACCATCTTCAGACAAAAGTACTGAATGAACTGTTACCGAAATGTCACACACTATTTATTTGGATTTGGTGGTCTTATTACCTAGTGTTTATAATCTATAATCCACACAAATTGGGTCTTATCAATAATTGAGACTCTTTAAAGTTGGGATTACTTTAGAATTAGGAGAATGTCACATTATTGACTGTAAACACAAGGTGATAAGACCAAATAAATAAATATTTATTATTTATAATTATTACCTTGTGTTTATAATCTACTAGACGGGTGACCCGGGCTTCGCCCCGGGATTGACCCGTGTGCATATCTACCCGAGTGATTTATATTTAGATAAGATTTTTTTTTTATAAATGTTTGTTATTAGCATTATATATTTGTTTGCATCAGCATATAGAGGGCGCTGTTCGTGAGCTAAATAAAATAATTTGAATATATAGTTTTAATAATTGATTTATATATTTTTTAAAATAGCCTATCGTCTTCCCCGTATTTTTTTTATCTATGTATGGAAATTTTGGTTTGAATTAGTGAACTACTGCGAATTTGTATACCGGACATACAAACAAACATACATACATTCATTTTTATATATATAGATAATCCAAATTGTGCCCTATCATTATTGACTGTATTGACTCATCCATTGATGAACTCTACTCTTCCCCGGCAGACACCATCAAAAAGCTTTACAAGCTTGATACCTTAATATGATTGAGTGGAGATAAGAAAGAAGAAGAAGGATAAAAGAAAACAAGACCTAATCCAAATAATTTATTAGTGTGTGACGTTTCGGCAACAACATTGTCACCATCATCAGACAAAAGAATAAATGAGAAAACATGTTACAGCAGGTTCTTATATAGTCCTGTTATCAAGTGTTTAAACAAGATAACAGATAAGGAAAATAGTTTTTAAGTCAACTTGAAATATTCTTCTTAGAATTAAAAGTGGATTTTTTTTTTTTTTTAAATATAATTAAAGGCATATCTGTAAATATCATTTATATGTTATAACCATACATGAGGGAAGATATTCTGCCGCCTTCCTTTTACAAATGGTACAAGTTTGGAAGATCCTCCTTGGAGGTTGATCTGTACCTGGTGTGGAAGTGAGGGCCACAGAGAGAGGCCACAGCAGACAGACTCCCAGCCCCGGTACCAGGCCGTCCTCCAAGGTCAGACAGAGGGCGAGGGCCGCCAGGAGCACCAGGGTGGCCAGACTGGAGGCCGGAGGAAGGCCGGACACTGTGGCGGTCAGTAGTCCACAGAGGAGAAGCACTCCCCGCGGGAGATACTGCCACAACTCTTCCTGTTGTTCTTTCTCATCACTACAAGATAGTTCTCTAACATTCCAGTAAACTTTGGTAGAAACTTCTCTCAGAAAACTGCATCTAAATTCTGATCCCAATCTCCTTTCAAATTACAGTTTAAAAACTGAAAAACAGATTAAAAACACGTTGATGAGGGCCAACAGCCATAAACACATATGTGGTTAGCTTTTATTGATTAATCAAGAATGGGTATTCGACCAATTCTAGAATAATTAAAAATCAACAATTAGTTGATATTTATTCCGATAGATGGCATAAGCTATCAGCAACTTTTATTTGCACGATCAGGAAATGCCCATTTTTCTCAGTTTAAAAACTATCTTTATTAATTTTCAATTACTTAAGATAATGCATAAATTTGGATTATAGATTAGAACTGTATAATTTTTAATTACATTAGATGCACTAAACAGGTCATTTGGGAGAGGCCACTGCTTATTATAAAACAGCTAAAAGAGCATGGACTCATGGAATTCGTGTAATCTAGGCACAAGGGGATAAAAAAAAAAAAACAACAACAACAGACCACATCCAAATGAATAAATTATGTGTGACGTTTCGGTACAAGTGTTGACACCATCTTTAGACAGAATTACTAAATGAGGAAAAAATTTGACAGTATATACTACCAACTATTTAAAAATATTCTGTGGAATTTTTTTCTCTCAGTAATGCTAAGGTACAATTTGTGTGTGTGTGTGTGGATTATAAGTTTCTTTTACCTGATGATGGTAACAACGCTGTTACTTGAAACGTCAAACAATATTAATTTATTTGGATTTAGTCTTATTACCTTGTATTTCTCATTTAGAGTTCAGCTTCATTCAACTTGCGAGTGGAATTTAATTAATCAACAATGGATCTTTGTCCTTATAGTAACCAAAAGTTGACTTGAACAACAACAACAACAACATCCAGCCCAATGTCAGGATGGCTGAGTGGTCTAAGGGACTGCGTTCAGGTCACAGTCTAATCTTGTAGGTGTGGGTTTGAATCCCACTTAATGACAGTTTTTTTTTAAACAGGTCGATGAGCATGGATTTATTGAATTTGTGTAAACTTTGCACAAGGGATAAGAAACCAGGTCCAAAGGCAGAAATACATTCTACTTCACTATGGATGTCTATAGACTTGATACTCTGATTGAGTGGTGATAGAAAACAACCAGGCCAAGACATGTCCAGTACCTGGTGTTGAGGGAGAAGGGCCTGAAGGACCTGAGGAGGAGCCAGCCGGACCACCCAGTGGGCAGAAAGCAGGAGGGCAGTGAAGGGAAGTCCGTAGAAGAGACAGAGCAAGGAGGGAGAGTCCGGGTCAAAGTCCCGTCGGGCCCACACCATCATCCCCAGCACCATGCTGCCCACTGTGGCCACCGGCAACGCCAGTCGACCGTATCGCAGAGCCTCCCAGCTAGCTGGCAAATGGGCAGCTGGTGTCAGCAGCGGGGAGTTCACACAGTCCAGCTGCATCTCCCTGCACTTGTAGAAGAGAGGTCCGCAGCGGACAGCAGCTAGACATAGTCCAGCCACTCCCAGCTGTCTCCACCTGCCGGACTGCTGAAGTCCGCCCAGAGAAATGGCAGCCAGGAGTGTGGAGGTGAGATAGAGGGTCACTCTATCCTCGTAGAGCACCAGACTGTTGGAGAAGTGGAGGCCGAACTCCACCACCAGGATCAACACAGCGAGCTGATTCAGTCTGCCAGTAAAGAGAGAAGAGAGCCTAGCGTGGACAACCAGCTGGCGCAGGAACCTCCACACCAACACCACCTGCGGCACTAGCACCAGCAGCAGCAGTGACGGGACGTAGAGCCAGAAAGAGACGGCAAGAGTGACAACGGGGAGGACAAAGATGCTCCACAAGTAGACACGTAGCCGCGACCGACTGAGGCAGTGTTCTAAGGGACGGAGATCTCCCAGCAGGAGGAAGTTGAGGGACAGCGCCGAGGCAAATGTAGCGATGCCGTACCACACCGCAGCTTGGTCAAACTCTGCCCATTTCAGTCTACAGGCCTCCCTGAAGTTGTGACCTTGCAGGTGGAGCCAGGCGTGGAGCTGATCCACCTGGGACAGAGTCCAGGCCATGTCAGATGGACGGGAGAGCAGATGGCGCCACTGGTCCAGCACATCAGCGAAGGGGTCCGTGCCAGAGATGTGGTTGGACTGCCCAGCCTCGTGCAAGTAGGCTGCCATCTGGTGGAGAGCGGTGGAAGTCACGAGGGCACGGTAGAGCCCTCGCTGTAGGGGACTGGCGGAGAAGTCCGGGTGGTCTACCAGCTCTGGTAGGGGCAGTCCCAGGCTGGAGAACGGGATGGGAACGCCCAACAAGACTGTCAGGGTGGGCACCACATCTACCTGAGGCACCTCCAGTCTCTGCCACACAACCCCACAATGTCCAACATTCATCTTCTGTAATTCAACACACCAAGGGTTCTGAATATTTTCATGGTTGAATTCAAGTCAGCTAAGAGGAATATCAATTCAATACAACCTTCACTTGTAATATGATGCACTAGCGTGCCATCTGTTATCAAAATTCAAAACTATTTTAAATGCGTAAGATTCTTTTTGAAATTAAACAATTTTACAAAACAATTTCAAGGGCCCTCCCTTTTATTTTTCCATTGCAGTAAGGGCAGTAGAAATTGTTTAATTTCAAAAAGAATCTTATGCGTTTAAAATAGTTTCAAATTTTGACAAGCTTCACTGCTAGTGAACATAAAACATTTTGTTGTTAACACTTAAGTTTGTATCTAAAGTCTGTGATGTTGAATTATAGCATGTGTTAACAAGCTGATTGTTGATTCTGTTGCATCATGTCATTATTGTTCTATAAAAAGACCTTTACTTGCTGTTTGCGGAAAGGCAATATGCTTGAAACATATTAAATATTTATATAATTGTAGGTATTTCTACCATTCTCAAAGCTTATGTCCATAGGTCAGTTAAAATACCTTTTCCAAAAAAGGCCAGTTTCAGTATCGGTATAAAAGCAGAACAGTATGTGCAACATTACAGCGGTATGGTAGATTAAACTGGCGAAACTGCTGGTAGGGTTCACCACTGATGAGCCAGGCCCTCCAATTAATTTATCATTGCAGCTGCACATGGTGTCTGTTCCTCATGTCAGATGCGGCCATTTCTTTTGGAGCTAAGTCGGCCTGCCATTGAGTAGTGCTCTCAGTCTTAATGACAAAGGCAGACGCATTATACTTCACCCAGTCATTATGGTTGTCAAACAGACACCATCAAGGGTCACAACTTGATACCCTAATATGATTGAGTGGAGATAAGAAAGAAGAAGAACATTGCAGTAAGGGCAATATAAAATTATTTTTAATTTTAAAAAGAATCATACGCGTCAAAAATAGTTTCAATTTCTGATATGTGGTATCATGGCATCACTGGATGTGACGTAGCCACCACGCCAATGTGGTAAACAAAGAAGATAAAAGGTAATCTCCCTCGCCAGTTGTAGCTAGGTATAACCAGGTGTAATCTCTTATTATTCTAAAATAAAGTAAGTGATAAAGCACAATTTGGATTATAGATTATAAATACAAGAAAATAACTTTCCTCCTTTAACGTAACTACAGGCCTTTGTAATTGGAGTAACCAAAACATAACATGATAGTAAAAAAAAAAGTCTGATAAGGCACAATTTGGATTATCTATATATATAATTGCCTTATTCTGTCTGAAGCTCACGGATAGAATGCGCGCCCATTGGCTGCCGGCGAACACGTGTCCTCCCTGCCCCCCTCTAGACAACCCTGTTATCAGCAGTGTGTTACATCCACCTGTCTATACAGACCACCCTGACTATAGCGGTCACTTTAGGCAACCCTGTTATCAGCAGTGTGATACATACACCTGTCTATACAGACCACCCTGTCTATAGCGACCACTCTAGACAACCCTGATATCAGCTGTGTGATACATCCACCTGTCTATACAGACCACCCTGTCTATAGCGACCACTCTAGACAACCCTGTTATCAGCAGTGTGATACATCCACCTGTCTATACAGACCACCCTGTCTATAGCGACCACTCTAGACAACCCTGATATCAGCTGTGTGATACATCCACCTGTCTATACAGACCACCCTGCTATAGCGACCACTCTAGACAACCCTGTTATCAGCTGTGTGATACATCCACCTGTCTATACAGACCACCCTGTCTATAGCGACCACTCTAGACAACCCTGTTATCAGCTGTGTGTAACATCCACCTGTCTATACAGACCACCCTGTCTATAGCGGCCACTCTAGGCAACCCTGGGAAGCAAGATGTATACAAGGTGTAGACAAGATGAAGATCTAGATGAAGATTAAAACGTTTTTAAAATATATTCGCACTCGGGTAAAACCCGGGCGTTGCCCGGGCCATTCGTCTAGTAAATTATAAACACAAGGCTTCACTCCAGTCCTAGAATTGAACAATTCTTCAGGTTGGAGAGTGAGGGTAGACACAAGAGCAAGAGTACCGGACTGGGGAGAGATGAGGAGATGCTGGGAGAGTAAGCCAGGAAGAAGGCTGAAGTCTCATCCGGACTCTCTCCACCATGGTCCCCTGTGGATGTCATGCCATGGTCACTGAGGACTGCCAGGAGAGTGTCTGGCTGTAGCCGTGGTACCACTTCATCCCTGCCACAGACATCACACCAAAACTTCATGTACATATCACCTATTGTTCATGTGCAAACAGTGCAGGATTAGTTTAATGATCTAATAGAATGGTCACGGATAGAAAGAGGTGAAGAGAATTGTATAGAGAGAACAGGGTGGAATGGTGTTCCATGATGGCTGCTGTCCTCTGTATTGGAGATGGCTGTACTATTTGGTGATAATAGGCTTCTAAATGAGGTAATCAAGAAGTTGGGGCAGAACATGTTCCATGAGGATCATCCAGAGAATGTCTATTGACCATACTGGAGGGACGATCCACCTTGAAGAATGAAGAGAGAAATAGACCAAGGAAGGAGATTTAATGTGGTCTGGGATCAGAAGAGAGGTGAAGAGAATTGTACAGAGAGAACAGGGTGAAATGGTGTTACATTATGGCTGAACTCTGTATCATAGATGACTTACTACATGGTAATAGCCCTCTAAATGAAGTAATCAAGAAGAAATGGAAGTTGGGACAGAACATGTAACACAAGGATTATTGGGAGATTGTCTATTGACCATACTGGAGGGATGATCCACCTTGAAGAATGAAAAGAGAGGTAGACTAAGGAAGGATAGAATGGTCTGGAATTAGAAGATAGGAAGAGAATTGTACAGAGAGAACAGGATGGAATAGTGTTACATGATGGCTGCTGTATCAGAGTACTTCATGATGGTAGCCTTTCTCTATTTGAAGTAATCAAGAAGTAATGGAAGTTGTAGCCAAACATGTTCCATGAGGATCATTGGGAGATTGTCTAGTGATTATACTAAAGGAACGATCCACCTTGAAGAATGAAGAGAGAAGTAAACCAAGGAAGGATAGAAAAGTCTGGAAGTAGAAGAGGTGAAGAGAAAAGTACAGAGAGAACAGGGTGAAATGGTGTTCTATAATGGATGTTGTCCTCAGAGATAACTGTACTTCAAGAGATGGGACTATACTGTAAGACATACTCCAGTGTAGAAAACAGACCTGATGAGTTGATCCAGCTGCCCCAGTTTCCTAGCCATGGCGGGGTGTGCGGGACCGAAGGTATGGCCGCAGTGGTCCACCCCCAGGAAGTGGGCCACCAGCAGCTCCCAGTCCCGGGACTCCAGTTCAGTCCCCAGGTGGGAGGCAATCCCGGCATCCACGGTGTCTAGGTCCTGGGTAAAACAAGCTTTGGATGCTGACAACCCACCCAGCATCACTATGATCTTCTTCTTTCTTATCTTCGCTGGGTGAAGTAGAAGTAGTTGCTAATGCGACCAATCAGACAATTTCCAATATTTTGCCCAGATATATATGTGCCTCAAAGTGGATCAATATGTTAAGTTTGTTTCAGATGGGTTTAATTAGT